TAATCAATTACTACCCAGCTCTCTCGCTCTCTCTCTCTCTCTCTATATAGAAAGAGATTTCGTCTAGCTTCAGTGGGTGGCAGGTCATTTTCCGTCCTTGCACCTAAACTATGGAACTCTATACCACTGGCACTAAGGACAATAACCTCACTCTCTGTATTTAAATCACAACTCAAAAACATACTTGTTTACCCAATACTATCAGTCATAACATGTTCTTTAGACACTCTCCTCATCCTGTACTACCAGCTGTAATTCTCTCTGAGTATTTTCGTTCTGTGTATTTTTGTTGCATTTACTATTCTTTGTTTGTTACTTATTGGCACTATCCTTTTTCTGTTGTTACTTATACTATGATATGTATCTCTGTTTCCAGTACACAATTGTACCATGATATGCAACTGCTATCATGTCTAATTGATTGTGAAATGACTGTTTATGATTATGTGAATCGACTGTTTATTGCAGGGGTGCCCAAACTCGGTCCTGGAGGGCAGGTGTCCTGCAGAGTTTAGCTCCAACTTGCCTCAACACACCTGCCGGGAAGTTCCTAGTATGCCTAGTAAGAGCCTGATTAGCTGGTTCAGGTGTGTTTAATTGGGGTTGGAGCTAAACTCTGCGGGACACCGGCCCTCCAGGACCGAGTTTTGACACCCTTGCTTTATTTTTTTTTTTTTTTTTTTTTTACTTTACAAAAATCAAACTCTTGGACATTATGCCTGTAATCGAGAAAAAACACCCAGCCTATTATAAACAACACCGCATACAATGTGCATACGTGCTGACAGCCATGGCTCTCACAGACACTTTCCCCGCAGGTATGCGGACAGGTTCAGTGTACTTCAGATTGCTGTCACCAAAACCCGGCCTCTTCATCTTCATCATCTCCGGCTTACTGCCGTCCAGCGTGTACAGGACACTCGCATCAGAGGAGTCTGGGACATATGCAACATAAAACACATGAAGATCAACAAGCGAGGAACAAGCCTGTGTCACTCACAGTCACAACCGCACTGACTCACCGGACTTGATCTCTTACAGGAGTGCAGGAGTCAATCTCATGCTTGGCTTTTCCTGGAGGCGGCAGGCGAACGAGAATGATCTGAGGTGCTGCCACTGAACCTGCTGTCATGTTTGCGCTCTTGAAGTTGCAGTGCCAGGTGAAAAAATACCGACCAAAAACTCTGAACTAACTTTACATCTAGGTGATTTTACTACAGGTTTGTTTCATTCAACGCATGCATAAAAAGTGAAGTGCAGTAGGCTATAGAAAACATGAGCTTGCAAACTCTACTGTCCTGAGTAATTATGTAAATTAAAGTATCTACGATTTTGAATCATAAACCATATTTCCTAACACAACGCTGTATCCAACTACGCTGTAACGATACACTCAACATAGCTGGACGCGCCATTGGTTCGTTCGTGGTGCTATTCCTGTACCCTCATTCATCCCAAAATGAATTTTGTCAGTGTTAACTCACGTTGTCTCAGACCCCTATTTTCTTTGGAACACAAAATGAGATATACGTAAGTGCTTATTTACATATGAAATATTTTATTGATTGCTAAAACACTGCATTATTTTCTCAATGTTTTCTCAATTGCTAATTTGAAATATTTCTCATTATTATTGTTGAAAACCATTTTTGCTGCTTAATATTTTTTGAAAACCGTGCTACACTGCCATTCAACAGTGTATGGATTTGTAAGAAAAGAAAGAAAGTAAATAAATAAATACTTGCATTAAATGTGTTGTGTTGCGTTAAACTGATCAAAAGTGAACGGAAAGATATTTATAATGTTACAATGTTACAAATGATTTCTATTTCAAAGTAATGTTGTTCTTTTTAATTTTCTGTTCATTAGAGAACCCTGAAACCGGTAAAACTGTTTTCAACATTGATCACAATAAGAACCACTATTAATATTCAATATTACATATTAATATTAGTGCTGGGCAATGATTAATCGCATCCAAAATAAAAGTTTTTGTGTACATATATATATATATATATATATATACACACACTCATGCATGCATATATTTAAGAAAAATGTGTTATGTTTCTATATTAAATATATCTATATATAATATAAATTATATAAATATATACATGTAAATATTTTCAAAATATATACTGTATGTGTGTGTCTTTATATATACATAATAAATATACACAGTACACACACACATACAGGTATATATTAAGTACACAAAAGCTTTTATTTGGGATGCGATTAATCGCGATTAATCGTTGCCCAGCACTAATTAATATTAATATTGAGTACCAATCAAGTATCACCTCAAGTAAATATTTTAGGTCAGATGGGTTCAGCTGGGGAAAAAAAAGCATTATGATCAAATTTATAAAGACTAAGAGAATAGGTTTCAAAATGTGCTAAATTCACAACAATCAATGTTTACATGTCTAAACTTAATTTTTCTCGTCCTCCAGCAAAGTAGGTGGCGGTATGAACCTGGTTGCTTCGCACTGTGCCAGTCTGTGTTGCCACGTCCACTTTTTGTAAGTGATTCTGAACTAGTTTCGGTTATAAACGTTGTAAATCGCGGTTGTGAGTTCTCGAAGTTGTTTTAAAATAACAACGAGTTTATGAAAAAAGTGCATATTTCCTCTTATTCAATAGAGACAAGTCACTGATTGAGGTCTTGTGTTTTAAGTCAGTTTTCAGTCTTTATTTTGCGCGATCTGGCAACCCAGCAGCAGTGCAAACTCTCGCTAGAGTGCAGACTGGAATTCGAAACAGCATTCTGTATCTTTGAATGTGCAAATATTAATGATGACATTTCACTTTATCATCAAGTAACTCCTTTCTAATGAACAATGACAGAAGTTAAAGTCAAGAAAGAGTCCACGGACCCTGTAGATATCGAGAATGAGTTGAGCGCAGGTTTAACATCCTCGTGCATGGCCTGTTAACAACATATGATAACGTGTGGATGGATTTAGAATTAATTAAAAGTTACTATCAAAGCTACTCCGTCTTTTTTGTGTATTGCAAGTATTTACAAACCGACGTTTACGGAAAAACGGACCCATCTCCGATCCAGTAGATGAGCATTGTGGTTGTAATGTGTGAATGTTTTCAATGATAAGAAGGTTTTGTTTTTTTAATAGCGTATGGGTCTATACATTAACTTACAACATTATGTATTTATAAGTCTGCCCAATGTATATTTTGCTCCTAGGCTTTAATGACTCAAGCAGAACTACATAAAGTGAATAAGAAGCAGCTTCCATCTGGTCGTCAGTGAAATTTGGACACATTAGACTGATTTTCTTTTTTTGTTTGTTTGTTATTGCTTCTCTCTTCACCCATAGATATGTATTTTAAGATATACCTCAACCATATCAATAAATAAAGGTTTTCATATTTGTTGATCGGTAGTCTGTATATTGGACCGTGTGTTTGTGCACTTCTATAATTTTTGTGCACTGCATCCATTTTTTAGCAGTTTGTTAATGACACTTATGTTTTTATAAGAATATTCTATAAATCAATGAATTCATGAAACCAGCGCAGTCGCAGACTATTTAGGTAAAAAGACCTTGTGTCTGAAAAGTGTGGAATTTATTTTTATTTTTTTTAAAGAAATACAGACAACGCATCAGTATAGACTTAAACTGTGTCATTGTCATACTTGGCACATTTTGTATATTTAAAAAAAAATAGTGTTTTATAATTTATTATGGCACAAATTCACATTTTAAGCAATAACTTTTTCTTTTTTTTTTGCAATTGTGATTTCTGTGTCAATGCATTGTGGACTACATGACACTTAAGATGTTGTTTTTAAAACACTCAAGGCTTTTATATATCGAGTAAATTGCTTACATGACACTTAAGATGTTGTTTTTAAAACACTCAAGGTTTATATATATCGAGTAAATTGCTTACATGACACTTAAGATGTTGTTTTTAAAACACTCAAGGTTTATATATCGAGGAAATTGCTTATTTGATGTTTTTTTCCCCCATCTTTCTCACATTTTAATTTATTTTCTGATACTATTTCACATACATATTAGAAAGAGAACGTCATCGGGATTTTCGCCTAAGTAATTAGAGCTATGTTTGTTTGAGTTATATTAGTTAGTCAATTATGGAATCACTTTCACTTTCCACACCTGCAATACATGAGCTGGAGTACATTGATACACCAGTAGGTGGCGTATATTTAATTTACTATTTAATTTTGTGTGTGTGTATATGAAATACACTTCTAATATTTGGTCAATCAGAATTTGTAAGAAATTAATACTTTTATTCAGCAATGGCGCATTAATTTCATCAAAAGTGACTGTAAAGACTTCTACATTGTTACAAAACAAAGCATTTGTATTTCAAAACTGCCGTCTATTTTAACTTATTCAAAGAATCCTGACATTTTTTTTATCATGGTTTCCACTTAAAAATTAAGCAGCACATTGATACACTGGAAAAATGTATCTTCCACTCTCAGAAACTTATTTGTAACTTTTATTTTAATCAAATAAACATAAAGAGACTTCTTTCAAAAACATTTAAAATCAGTTTGTGTGTTCAAGATACTATATCATTGTCACATATAACCACTGGTTTAGTGGATGTTTAAACGGCTGATCATTTATTTAGACCAGCTTAAAGGTCAGAACTGTCATTTCCATATCTGATAAAGTTATGAATTTTTTAACACATCGAGTGTGAGGTTACATTAATGATGCACAAAACAAATACATTCACACATAAATCAGACATCTTTGTCATATCAGTGACAGATTCATTACGAAATTATTTTTATATCAAGAATCGCTCATAATGTTCTAATGTGTATTTTTCTCTTCAGTAACGCAGTCTGTTCAGAGTACTCATAGATGATGATGCAGAGCCCAAAAGCTGTTTACATCAATGTGACACATCACGCATTTTCATCACAGTCTCTCACCACCCTCTATTGCGCGCGGTAGCCATAGAAACCGGCCAGAGGGGCACTTAGCAACAGAAAAGGAGGAGGCGCAGCATCATCTGCTGCGAGCGGAGGAAAAAACAGCAGATGCGATCGACCTTCGTTTCATCCAGACCTGCTTCTGATGGTGAAAACCGGCCGTTTGTAAATATTAAACATCGATAAAACTACATCCAGCGGTTTTTTTTTTGTAAATCTCAATCGGCTACATGAAGTTCGTCGTGGTTTTAGTCTCCGCCGGCCTCTTGGCGTTTCTCGGCGCGGTCATCTGCATCATCGCCAGCGTGTATTCACGATCCTCGGCCGCCGCGCCCCAGGCGCTATCCGGCAACCGCTCACTGTCGCTCCTGGAGCCGCTGCCTGGATCCGTAGCGCATGCCGGGCCGCTCGGAGCTCTCCATGGTGCTGAATCTTATGAAGGCGGCGGATTGGACATCGGCCTGGAGATGCCGTCGTTCAATGAGCTCAGTACCGGGGACGTGACTGGGCCAAGTCCGAAACAGTTCACCCTCAATCGACTCATTTGTACCCCTGTGCCCATCAGTGATTGTAAATCCAGGGGTTTGAGACAACAAGCCGATGACCCGTTTACAGATGAGGAGGACTGGAGCCTCCGCACCACCGCTGAGGAGCTCCGGCAGATCGTCATGCAGCAAAACGACCAGATCCTCATGGACCAGAGGACCATCACGGAGCTCACCGGGAAACTCTCGGAGTGTGAGAGCGGACTGGAGGAAAGGAGTCTGCACGAGAGGAGTATGGGGGTTTGGGCAGGCAACCGTCGCCACATGGCTGGGGACGATGTGAGCAGCTCGGTTGCAGTGCAGCTGCAGACGGCGCGGGCTGTGGAGGAACTGGAGAAAGCAATTCTTCAACTCAAAGATCGCATAGAGAAGTTGGAGGTTGGTGTGAGACACTATAAACAAATTTTTTATTTTTTTTTTATCTAAAAGGTTTCCAGTTATTTAACTATTGCAATTACAACAGGAAACACACTTTTTAAGGTGCACAATCTCCACCTCCAACTTTGCCGAAAGACAATGAACACAATTCTGCACAAAATATGACTTAAGAACTTAATAAGAACTTAAATAAATATACACTATACACTGTATCTAATTTGCATATGAATGGGTTCTTGGAGCAACATTTAATGAAAAAAGAAGTGTAATAATTGGAGTAATAATTGGCAACATTTTAATAATAATATCTAATATTTCATAGGAATATTGATGTATAATTTATTTCCATATTCACTTGTTGTGTCTCCCAAAATGCCTGATAAACATGATTTCAGTCCTGATGTCCTCTACAGTGGAGGAAATCAATGCCCTGTTCTGTAACAGAAAGTCATTTTTTGATTTGAAACCCCATAACGTTTTGACATAACGTCTGAGATGTTGGTTTATGAAATACAATTTGAAAAGTAGTCCGATTTAAATTATAATTAAACAGATTTGAAAATTCCGTTGGCTAATTACAGGGCCTAACGTTAACCCAACTGATGGAAATAAATAATAACTGAACTTGTAACAGTTTTGTTGCAAAGCACAATATTATGGTGAAATTAGATCTCGTGTTTGAGTTAAAACCGAATTATTGTTGTATAAGCATAGCAAGCATCATAGCAAAAAGGCTAACAAACTTAAGAGTTATACCCACCAATTAACATTAGCCCTTCATTCATGACATGGATACCGTAATAATCACACAGAGAGAACATAGTTGCATACCTTTATCTTTTGCTCTCTTTTTTTTCTAAATTGGGCACCTGATGGCTTTGACCTTTTCCTGTCCATCCCTGTGTTTATTTGGCACTGGACAATCAACAGATTTCCCATCCCCCCATCACTGTCACTCACGACCAGAAGTCAAGACTAAACCAATTCACCTTGGTGACCACATAATCGTTTTGTATTACCTATTTTTATTAGCCATTTCACACAATTCAGAAAAACAAAAATGTGCAGGAACTATAGGCCTGTATTTATAATATTATGAATGAAATGTGCGTTATTTGGAAGAAAGTCGAGGTGTGACTGACTTTAGCCCACTAATTCGCAGAGGATTATTATTATTATTTTTTAACTGCTCGTGCCGCCCCCATGTATCATGAAAAAATACTGCCCGGTTCGCCCGTGCCAAAAACCGCTACTGCGTGCAAATGTTCAAGATCAGGGGGATAATTCATTGTGCCTGTTCATATTGTAGTACTTCCCTGCTGAAAAAACAATAGACACCATCACAAAATTTGTAATGGTTTTACTGGTTATGATGGTAATTGTACGGGTTTTAATGGAAACTGTGATGGACCCTGTGGGTTTCTACTGATAAGTGGTTGCCTTCTATTGATGGCTTGTTAAAACCACTAAATCCTAATGGAATATGTCCCAAAACACACTACAGAAACCTATTTTTCAATGCTTTTAATGGTTAAAACTTGATGGTTTGTAATGGTATTTGTAGTGGAAACCATTAGAATTTCTGTGATGGTTTCTATTGTTTTTTCAGCAGGGTTTTTATGTGTCTTTGTGTGTTTTCCTCACCTGGTGGTTGCTTTCCCCTCCATGGTAGAAAGACATACCTAAATCATGACGGAGGAGAGAATAGAACAGGTTCTCATCCAGCTGGAACACTGTCAGCAGTCACACCTGAATTGTAGATGTTGTGATATTGACTTATGGACCAGATTTGTTATTGCTGAAATTAAAAAATAGATTTCCTGTTCATTAGGGCAAGATTTCATTATTATTGAAACAATTTTTTTTCTGTAAAGCTTATATTGTGAAAAACTATATAAAATAAATGTGAGTTTATTTACTCACCCTCATGTCCTTCCAAACCCATACGACTTTCTGTCTTCTGTGGAGCACTAAAGCAGAAATTTTAAAGAATGTAGTGGTCACTGTTTTCTATGCAATTACAGGGAGTTTTCAAGCTTCAAAAAAGCATGTAAAAGCCCCATAAAAGATTTCAAAAGTTATTTTGTATAACTCATGCCTCATATTCCAAGTCTTCTGAAACCATATAATAAGTGTTTGAGGAACAGAACGAAATGTAAGTCATTGTTCACTCAAAATCTTGACATCCGTTCTAGCTCTCCTTAAATGAGAATTAATTCGAAAAGTACGGTATGTCTGATTCAAGAACAAATTATTCTTTTGACTTCCTGTAATTCAAATGGATCTAATATAGTCAGGTACATTTCTTGAACAGGATGTATTAGGTTTTGCGATATTGACTTATTGCATAATTATCTTGCAGTTGGAGATAGGCCCGGCAGCGATGAACCACACTGAGCGTACTGTGAGCACACTGGGGAGTGTAGTGGTGGGTGAGCCTGGCAGGCCTGTGGAGGATCTGGAGGGAGAGCTGGAAAAAAAGATTAGGCTGCTGGAGAAGGAGAGAAAGAACCTCCGGAAAGAGACCCAGAGCCACCACCAGCACATAGACCAGGGAATCAACACCCTGCAAGAGCGTATTGCAGAGCTGGAACAGAGTAAGGAGGAAGGTTTGGTCAAACTCAAGGGAAAGGGGATGAAATGGTCACTTCATTTTCAACTCACTCTCTCAATCTTTACTTCCCAGGTCTTACAGATTACAGTTACCCACAAGGGTATAAACTTTCCTTCCCTGTGCGAACTAACTACATGTACGGGCTTGTCCGGAGGAATATTCCAGAGATGTACGCCTTCACGGCATGTCTGTGGCTCAAGCCTGCTGAGAGTGGAATTGGGACGCCATTTTCCTATGCTGTACCGGAACAACCCAATGAACTTGTCCTGTTGCAGGGCATTCATAATCCAGCAGAACTACTCATCAATGATAAGGTAAGACCTACTACACGAAGGCTTCTCAAATCTGCTCTGCAGAGTTTAGCTCTAACCCGAGTCAAAGTCAACTAAACAAGCTAATCAAGGTCTTCAGAGTTACTACAAAATGATTGGTAGTGATTGAGCTAAACTCTGCAGAGCAGTGGCCCTCCAGATCCAGATTTGAGGAACCCTGCACTAAATCTTCCCTTCACAGCAACCTTGTGCAATACAGCTGATGGACTCAACCCTTCCTTCCATTTACAGGTGGCACAGCTGCCTCTATCTTTGCCCCAGGACATCTGGCAGCACATATGTGTGAGTTGGACCCTACGGGATGGAGTTTGGAAAGCATATCAAGGTGGAAAGTTGAGAGGACGGGGTGAAGGTTTGTCCGCATGGCACCCAATCAAATCCGGGGGCGTCTTGGTGTTGGGACAGGAACAGGTAAGCAAGACAGTGGATCATTGAAGAGTCTGAATACACCCTCAAAAGTACACCTTCACTCTTGGGAAAAAAATGTGCAAAAATTGTACCTTCAGTTGTGCAAAAGCTTGTCACTGGGGCAGTATCCTCAACAGGACATCTTTGCACCTTATTTAGCCCTAAAAGATTCATGGTAGTGCCATAAAGCTACATTTTTCTATTCTAATATGCACCTTTTAGGAGTAGATAAAGTACAAAGTTGTCCTTTAAAGGTAAGTGCCTCAGTTTTTGTACATTTTTCCCTGACAATGTTTGCATCCTTCAAGGGTTGTTAAGGTACAAAGGTATACCTTTGAGGGTCCTACCCCAGTGACAAGGTGTTGGACCCTTAATGGTACCATTTTGGCACAGTATCTCTGATGCAACATAATGTTTATCCATGTGTAACCCTTCCGCTCTCCTTGGCTCCTCTGCAGGATACCCTTGGTGGGCGGTTTGATGCATCCCAGGCCCTTGTTGGGGAGCTTTCGTTATTTAACCTGTGGGACCGAGTGTTATCGCCAACAGAGGTTGCTGCTTTGGCGGCATGTGCAGAGTCGCCCCACTTGGGGAACATAGTGCCCTGGACGGACCGAGATGTGGACGTGTTTGGAGGGGCTGTCAAGGACCCTGTGGACCCCTGCCTTCAGAGCTCCCATCCCCGGCAGTGAGCAGGGCCATGGGTTGATACCTTTCTTTTTTTGAGGCGAGGGTAAATGAGACAAAAATGGCCTGAGAGGTATGACAGCTGTGCTGTGGTCCCGGTCTGTGTATAGAATATATGTACCGTAGAGCTACACTCTCACTGAGTGTTTGTTTCTGCAGGGAAGGAATTTGTCTGTGTGTGTGGTTGTGTCACTTCGGATAGAGCTGCTGCCGAATGCTTTTAAAGGCCTGTTTGCATCTCGTGTTGCTTGTGTTATTTCATGCCCTTCTTCTGAAAGCATTACCGCACAATGGTCCCTTCAGATATAGAGAATGTTTTTGTAATACGATGGATGTGGCTCATTCTCACAGCACTTGTCTTGCTCTTGTTTCATTATTTGTGTAAAGTGGAGCTTTCGCTTTTTTCCCAGAGCAGCTTTTTCCTTTCTTGTTTTTATTACCGATCCCTTAGGGTCACTTCACTTGTTATTTCAGTCCGGCAGCACTTAAAGGTGTATAACGTCTTATCTTTATTATAACATGTTTACATTTTTTGTCTTTTGGCATCTGGTCAAATGGGTCTTTACCCTGCTGTGTATCTTTTCTCACAGATTCAGCAAGATCCAAAAAAAAATTTAAACCAAAATGTGTTATTTCAAGCTTAGTATCTTAAACATCAGACTAAATTTTGAAGATCTGATGTACAGCCCACACACTATGAAAATATGAATGTAAAACAGTGTTTAGCATCTTGTCGTGTTACCATTGCACTGCATCTAGCCCTACTTGCCCTTTCACAGAGAAAAGCTTATGGAGAAGTGCCTGTCTGTTTATTTGACTCTTGCTATTGGTTGATGATCAGCTGTGATGTCAGTATAGTGCTTCTTCATATTTGCACCACCAAGGATCTACAATGATATTGTGACAAATGTGGATGAAAATATTAAAACTGTGAAGAAAATGAACTATGAGAGTGCATTGTCTTGTTTACTTATATCTATCTATCTATCCATCTATCTATCTATCTATCTATCTATCTATCTATCTATCTATCTATCTATCTATCTATCTATCTATCTATCTATCTATCTTCATGCAAATCCTGGTTATTGTCATTCTCATCCTCTCATTGCTCTCTTCACGCTGTTGCTGCTGCTGTTGAATTATAGATGAGTGTTAATGACCCCCTCCATCACACTGACCCCTGCTGCTTCTCTCACACCAGTAACATCCTCTGTGTGTGTGTGTGTATTTCCTCATATACAGTCTCTGTATTTGCCATTTGAATTCATTTAAATCTTTGCAATACTGAAAAATTTAATAATCATACGCCAGCTGTGTATCCTTCATATATCCTTCCCACAATCACATAAAAATAATATCATGACATGGCTGCCTTTATTCCTCACAGCACTTGTTTGACACATTCATAAAGAAACACTTCTCTTGGTTGTAATGCTCTGTAAGTGTCATTATGTTCCAGACTCCCATCTGCTGCAAGCCTCCTCTCTTTTCTTCTCCTCCTAAGGTACCATTCTTGCTTATATTCTTGCTCAAATCAGTGGTTAGATTCTCCCCTCCCCCTGCTTTTATTTGTAAATCTATCTAGAAACTGAAAATCCCCTATAATCCACAAATCAAAACAGGGTCTGTCTGGGAAACTCATGAAGATATTTTAGAGTCTCAAGATCAGCACCATCCAATGCATTACATACTGTAACCTACAAATGGCTATAATGCTCTCCCTGAATATTAAATTGGGATGTATGAGAAAAGTCAATGGCTACCAGCAACTGTTTGGTTATACTCAGAGCAGCATTGCATCTTACTGACAGCTCTCAGATCAGTGTGACAGTTATTTGGGGCACACTCACCAGCTGTGCACAGATGTATCTAGAGCTTAATAGGGTCAGTAAAAAGCAAGAGAGTAAACAACACAGATGAAAGTAGTGGGACCAATGCAGCATCTAGATAGCAGGCTTCACCCTGCTCAGACCGCAGTAAGGTTACATGGGGATAAAACACAGCTGGTGTCTGTGCTCATAAAATACTGAGCTTAAAGAGATACCAAAAATGACAATTCTGTGTCTGTCTATCTATCTGTCTGTCTGTCTGTCTGTCGGTCTATCTATCTATCTATCTATCTATCTATCTATCTATCTATCTATCTATCTATCTATCTATCTATCTATCTATCTATCTATCTATCTATCTATCTATCTATCTTCATGCAAATCCTGGTTATTGTCATTCTCATCCTCTCATTGCTCTCTTCAGGCTGTTGCTGCTGCTGTTGAATTATAGATGAGTGTTAATGACCCCCTCCATCACACTGACCCCTGCTGCTTCTCTCACACCAGTAACATCCTCTGTGTGTGTGTGTATTTCCTCATATACAGTCTCTGTATTTGCCATTTGAATTCATTTAAATCTTTGCAATACTGAAAAATTTAATAATCATACGCCAGCTGTGTATCCTTCATATATCCTTCCCACAATCACATAAAAATAATATCATGACATGGCTGCCTTTATTCCTCACAGCACTTGTTTGACACATTCAGAAGAAACACTTCTCTTGGTTGTAATGCTCTGTAAGTGTCATTATGTCCCAGACTCCCATCTGCTGCAAGCCTCCTCTCTTTTCTTCTCCTCCTAAGGTACCATTCTTGCTTATATTCTTGCTCAAATCAGTGGTTAGATTCTCCCCTCCCCCTGCTTTTATTTGTAAATCTATCTAGAAACTGAAAATCCCCTATAATCCACAAATCAAAACAGGGTCTGTCTGGGAAACTCATGAAGATATTTTAGAGTCTCAAGATCAGCACCATCCAATGCATTACATACTGTAACCTACAAATGGCTATAATGCTCTCCCTGAATATTAAATTGGGATGTATGAGAAAAGTCAATGGCTACCAGCAACTGTTTGGTTATACTCAGAGCAGCATTGCATCTTACTGACAGCTCTCAGATCAGTGTGACAGTTATTTGGGGCACACTCACCAGCTGTGCACAGATGTATCTAGAGCTTAATAGGGTCAGTAAAAAGCAAGAGAGTAAACAACACAGATGAAAGTAGTGGGACCAATGCAGCATCTAGATAGCAGGCTTCACCCTGCTCAGACCGCAGTAAGGTTACATGGGGATAAAACACAGCTGGTGTCTGTGCTCATAAAATACTGAGCTTAAAGAGATACCAAAAATGACAATTCTGTCAACATTTACTCGTTGTGTGGTTAGAAGCTTTGTCAGTATTCAGCTCAAAGTTTTGTAATGACATCAAAGCAAGTAAATGAGAACAGAATATTCATTTTTGGTGAATTCTTCTTCTTCTTCTTATTTTTATTTATTAAAAAAAAAAGACCAATAAGACATGACTTGCAGTCCATCAATTAATGTCTTGTGAAGCAAAAGCTGTGTCTATTTTTACTTGTAAATGGTACTTGATCTGTGCATATTTCTCTCCTGATTCAGAAGAGATAACTTTTCACTGGAGAAAGCAACATTAATTAATAGCCTAAGATGCCTATAGATATTTTAGCAGAAAGTAATAGTTTTGAAGTTAAAAATGTCTTAATGATGGATTTGTTTCTTACAAACATGCAGCTCACGTCACAAGGTGTTAATTGATGGACTGGAGTCATACTTGTGGATCATTGTGATGTTTTTATCAGCTGTTTGGACTTTCATTCTGACGGGAGTCATGGGACCCATTCACTGCAGAGGATTCATTAGTGAGCAAGTGATGTGCTAAATTTCTCCAAATCTGTTCAGATTAAGCAATTGGGTTGTTTTGACCCAGCGGTTGGGTTACTACCCAGAAGGTTGGGTTAAACATTTAACACAACCGCTGGGTCAAAACAACCCAATTGCTGGGTTTGTCCCTATTTAACCCAGCACTGGGTTGTATTTAACCCAGCATTTTTTAGAGTGTGTCTTCATAAATGAAGAATTTCTCCAAATCTGTTCAGATTAAGAAATAAACTCATATAGGCTAGCTAGGCTACCTCTTGGATATCCTAAATTTTCATTTTTGGGTGAACTACTCGTTTAAGGATACTTCTTAAATTTGCCTTTTTCAATTATCTGCACTCTAAAAAATGCTGGGTTAAAGACAACCCAGTGCTGGGTATAATAGGGACAAATTTGTCCCTATTTTACCCAGCACTGGGTTATATTTAACCCAGCATTTTTTAGAGTGTGCATTTACTTCTTAAATTTGCCTTTTTCAATGATCTGTCCTCATAAATGAAGAAGACCAGAAAAAAATCTTGCTAATTTACCATAGAAATTCAATAGACGCCCACGGACCAATCACGACAAGCGACGCGTTACTAGGGGCGGGGTTACGCACACAGCTGTCGCGCAGGAGTGGTTGCCATGGTGGACATGTCTCTCTAGCGATGTCGGTTTAAGCGTATTGAACTTCAGTTTTCTTTTATTACGGTACGTACATTTTTCTTAATACTTTCCAAGCTAGTTCATATGCAACGTTAAACACCTAGGTAGATAATATAATGCCAATGGAAATAAAAACGAGTGACCTAGCCATACAAATTAGCTAAGCAAGCTAGCAAGCTAGCAGTTTTCCTTATAAGTTACTGTTCGCTTTTCAAAACAAAGCTAATAATCGCTTCATAAGCATGCAGGACTATTACTAACTATTCTGAAATATGTTTATATGACATTTACGTCAACAAAAAGTACTATGGTATTAGCATTGTTGTTTGGACATTGAATCAAGGTAATGTCATGTTATTCAAACTTACAATTGATATGTCTTTGTATTCTTTTAAGTAACTTTGCTGTACTATGGTATATCAAAGTATCACGGTATTACTGATACCACAGTTTCAAAAGCTATTCAATTAATATCCATCTTAGATTTATTAGATATGATTTCTTAAATCTTAAATATGTCCGTTTATTCTCATCTAGAGCTAAACATGGCAGAGACCGTCGATGGCAAGAAGGATGAGGCAGACTACAAGAGACTACACAGCTTTCCTCTCATACGGGTAAAAACTTGCGTGAATGGACTTCTTCAATCTTAACTGATTACAAATTATGAAAATTATAAACAGTATTGCAACAAGCAAAACAAAAAAGTGCTTTCCTGAACTCACACAGTCGAGCATGGCATTGTAACACCAAAAACCATTGGTTTGTTACATGAATAGGGATGTAACCATTCACGATTTTTTTTTTTACAAAATGAGATTTAAGACAAATTATAAATTAAACGTGTCCTTTTATTATTGCTTGGACAAAATGCTGCACGTTTCTTTGTGAAATTGAAATATAACACTATAATAATATACTAATATAGCACTTGCATTTCTCTTTTGTTGGTTTTGATTTATTTTATTTTCCTCATTTGAAAGTCGCTTTGGATAAAAGCGTCTGCTAAATAACACAATTAAAATATAAGCTAATGTAAATGTAAATAGCAAAACTAAATTGAAATTTTAAAACAAGCCCCAAATCAAGTAACACAAATAAAAGAAATCACTTAATTTAAACAAACTAAGGCTTTGTCTGTGCTCTTTCCATTTAAAATTCGAGGCAACCACTGCATTTTAATCTTGATCCAAACAAAGATGCTGCATACATGCAACATGAGAAGTTTTTAATCTAAATTAGATTGTATAATTTCTAAATTTAAAGCAAAAACAGAATGATTTGACATCAGTTTTGTGAAAGTATACATAAAAAGATCTGCATGAAACAGCGGTTGAGCTGAATGAGACACAGATTCACTCTCTGCCAGCAGGTGGCGCTTAAACCCTTTCCTGGTTTCCGCTGTAAACAAAGCAGCGCTGCACTTATGCACTTTAATATGCGTTATACAGAGGCAAGATGAAAAGAAAAAATACCATCTAAACTTTTCTAAAGACAGTATGTTCCCCTCAGACATGGTTCCTACCCCTAAATGAATCGCGATTTGTTTAGCATCTCAGCCGATTTGAATCGTCACATATTTGAATTGATTTTCAACCGGCTCGCGGTTAATCGTTACATCCCTATACATGAACTTATAAAAATGTACATCTTCAACACAGTCTTTATTTCTTTGGAGAAAAGAGTGACTGTCATATGCATAAAGAAGGTAGCTGAGAAATAACTGACATAAGAAAATACACGAAAATGTTTTTGTTTTGGGCCCGTGCAGCTGCCTTTAACCATGAAATATTGGTCAGAATGACTCGTAAACATCTCAGTCATAATATAAATTCTGATAATGCAAAGTTTCACAGCTCAAAATGAGTCTAAAAGTTGCAAAGCTTAAAGAAAAACATAAAAAATCGATGCGGGTCAAATTGGCCCCGAAACACATGAAGAGTGCCATCCAACATTTTCTGCTAAAATGATTATTTTCTCATGCTCCTATATGTTTATGTTCAGTTATTTTACTTTAATGGGAAAGAAAAGAAACTATTTATTGCCATTAAAGTGAAATTACTGAACCTACACATGGGAGCCTGATAAAAATGCTCATTTTAGAAGAACATTTCAAACGGCACTTAGAGGCTTTTGCATCTGGACTCTTCATATATTTCCTCCACAGCACACAGATATGTCTGAGGAGATGCGGGTGGAGGCCATGGAGCTCTGCGTTACGGCGTGCGAGAAGTTTGTCACTAATAATGAGGTTAGTTCTCATTGCCATCTAGGAGAAGCAGATGAGATGTTAATGAGGTCTCCTTTGTGATTGTTCATTCCTTTGGGTGGCTCTTTCTCAACAGAGTGCCGCCAAAATGATAAAGGAGTCTATGGATAAGAAGTTTGGGAGCTCTTGGCATGTGGTGATTGGCGAGGGCTTCGGTTTTGAAATTACGCACGAAGTGAAGAACCTGCTTTACATGTTCTTCGGAGGAGGTTTGGCGGTGTGCGTATGGAAGTGTTCCTAACACTAAATGACTGTCTGACAAACACTTTTTCATGTGCTTTCTGACTTTATATTCAGGGTGCATCATTTCATACGGTTTATTTTGAATGAAACGTTTTATGTTTTCTTCTCTGTTTTAACTGTTCTCTCAAAGCTGACAGGCCATCTGTTGGTTTTATTGTCCCTCTCTGCCACTCTTTCTCCATCTGTCTCTTTTTTGTCTTCTATCTGTACATCCTCAGTTGCTTATGATAATTTCCATTGCTTTCATTTTTCTGAAGGACAAAGTATTTTTATAAGACAAATCCTATTTTTTAATTAATATGTGAATACATATGATCTGTTTTTAAAACTTCAGATATTTTATAGGAGTCGTACATTTTGCACAGCTGTAATGTGTATTTGTTTTATTATTAATAAGTATTGTTATGGTCTTGTGTAATAAAACCCTCATTAGAAATGAAACTCTTTTGCACCTGCTATATGTAATTTGAAGTGACAGAAAAATTGATTTAAAAAACTGACACTTAATGGAAGAGTTCACCCAATAATTTACTCCTCCTCGGGTCATCCAAGATGTAGATGAGTTTGTTTCTTCATGGGAACAGTTTTGGAGAAATGTAGCATTCCATCACTTGCTCACCAGTGGATGCTCTGCAGTGAATGGGTGCCGTCAGAACGAGAGTCCAAACAGCTGACAAAAACATCACTGAAATCCAGTCCATCAATTAACATATTGTGAAGTGTCCTCTTTCGTAATATTGCTTTCTTAAAAGGGACTCAATTCATGTTCATCACTTGTTAGATGGCTGTGATGCTTTTATCAGCTGTTTGGACTCTTGTTCTGATGAAAAATGTATACTTTTACATGAGCTTTCAGTGGAAAAAAATGCCTTTATCCTTAGAATTTAATAGGTATGTATGTATTGAGAAAATATCTGTTTTTAAAGAGCAGGGATTCAAATGCTTTGAGTGTTTGAAGCATGTTTTATTTACTGATTATTGCACAAGGGAGTGTAGACATCTGGCTCAGAGCATCTGTTTACTCAGACACACACTGACCTGCTGTCAGGTTACTGTGACCTCCATACCAATAGACACTCATTAACTTTTCTTTGCTCACCTTCTTCACTTTTAAATATTCATACTTGCAGCAAAATGACTTGTTCCTGTGTGCCTGGCCTCTCACATTATGCTTAAAGTAATACTTCAACTCTGCTGTGGAACACAAAAAAGATGGTTAGCAGAATAAACTGTAAAAAACAACAATTTTAATATAAAATAATGGCAAATGCATGGTTTTGCAATTAAAAACTAATAAATTACTGGGTAATGTATGGTGAAAAGCAGCAAAAGGCCATTCCCTGAAGTCCTTGCATTATAGTTGTGATAATTAAAGATCGGTATATTAATGAAATACAGTTATAAAACATAAAAATTTACAAGCACCAATATGCCATCCCGTAATATCGGCAAAGTATTTTCACTATATGTTTTTCCACATCAACCACAGCTGCCGTTTTACTTTTTTTTTTATCATAGAATTGTTATTGTTGCAAATTGCATTTTTACATTTTATACCACCCCACCCACCATATACACCCCTACCCAGCCCCAACAAAGCAATCCCCAATTAAAACACAATGACGTCTGGAAAGAAAAAAGAAAAAGAAAAAAAAAAAAAAACACATAAATCAAATTAATAATAATAATAAAATAAGGGGTATACATATATACCTCCACTCATCCATGTCTAAGATTTGTAAATCATTAAAGAATGTGATAAATTGTTGCCATTTTTCAAAAAAAGATTCCCCCCTACCTCTGATATTGTACTTAATTTTTTAAAGTTTTAAATAAAAGACCAAATCTTTGAGCCAAACTGAAATAGACGGGTTTAGGGGAGGTCCAAGATAACAGTATTCTGCGCCTAGCAAGAAGAGATGCAAAAGCTATGACGTCAGCCTGTCTCCGGTTTAAAGGCTGACACAGAGAAGGAACACCAAAGATTGCAATCAAAGGGCAAACAATTAACTCGACCCCTAGGCCATCAGAAACTATTTTAAAGAAAGAATTCCAAAAGTTTTGCAACTTGGAACAAAATGCAAACATATGACTAAGGTTACATGGTGAAAGTTTACAGTTATCACACAAATTTGAAACATTGGGATATATTTTAGAAAGTTTTGCCTTTGAAAGATGAGCTCTGTGAATCGTTTTAAATTGTATAAAGCTAAGTCTAGCACACGAAGTGGTGGTACGTACATTGTCTAATACTCTACTCCAGTAATCATCCTCAAACTCGAGGTCAAGTTCCTCTTCCCCCAAGCCCTGATTATTTTAATGCTGTGAGAATTATCCTTTGACAGGATAATTGCATATATCTTAGAGATAATCCCACCCATATGAAGATTCAGTTTAAATGCCTCCTCCCATGGAGACTTTGTAGGCAGAGAGGGAAACCCAGAGAGCAGAGAGGAGACACAGTGCCTAATTTGAAAGTACCGAAATAGGTGAGAGGAAGGCAAATTAAATGATGACGATAATTCAGAAAAACTTGCAAACACATTATTAAAGAAAAGATCTTCAAAGCATTTCAGACCTTTCTTTTCCCAGAAAGAAAATACGGAATCTGAAAAGGGAGGAAGAAAGAGATGATTATTTTGCATTGGAGCCATGGTTGATGCCGAGGTAAATTTAAAATGACGTCGAAATTGAAAGAATATTTTAAGAGAAGAGCATACTATTGGATTATCCGTATAATGTGAAGGGGACATGGGGAGAGAAGAGAACACCATAGCAGGGAGAGATGTTGAAATACAAGACTTGGCTTCTAAGTAGCACCATGGTAAAGAGGAGGCCTGTACCCAGAACATCAGCTTCTGAATATTTGCTGCCCAATAATAATACATAAAATTGGGCAGGGAAAGCCCTCCACTTAGTTGACTTTTTTGAAGCAAAATTTTGGAAACTCTAGGAGTTTTACCTGCCCATATAAAAGGAGGAGATTAATTGATCTATATTCTTGAAGAAATATTTGGGCAGAAACAGGAATAGCTTGAAAGAGGTAAAGAAATTTGGGGAGAATATTCATTTTTACTGCATTTATCCTACCTAGTGGAGATAATGGAAGAGCCACCCATCTTAAAAAAGTTGACTTCATGTATGAAACTAACGGTGTAAAATTTGCTGCTTTTAAGGCAGAATAAGAAAAGGTAACATTAACACCAAGATACTTGAATTTAGAACTCTCCAAATGGAAAGGTATGTCATTCTGTTTTAATTTTTGGGCAGATTGATTTATGGGTAAACATTCACTCTTCTGCAGATTTAGTTTATACCCAGAGAATTTCCCAAAATCATCTAACAGATGTATTATCACAGGAATAGATGCAATTGGATCGGAAACGTAGAGTAATAAATCGTCAGCGTATAGGGCTAATTCATGTTCGATTCCCTTGAGGATTATACCTTGAAATATAGGAAGTGTTCTAAGCATTATTGAAAGGGGCTCAATAGCTATGGCAAAAAGTAATGGGGATAGGGGGCATCCCTGGCGTGTACCCCGTGATAAGGCAAAATATTCAGAGTTAACACTGTTAGTAGAAATTGAAGCTTGTGGGTCAGCATATAGTAGACGTATCCATGATATCAATCCCTCCCCAAAACCAAACTCCTCCAGAACTCTAAACAGATAATCCCACTCTATCCTATCAAATGCCTTTTCGACATCTAACGAAATGATCACCTCAGGGGAAACACTATTTTGTCTTGAGTATAACATATTAAAAAGAGTACGAATGTTAGAGAATGAATACCGTCCTTTAATGAATCCAGTTTGTTCCTCTGAGATAATACTAGGAAGTGCTGCCTCTAAATGAGAGGCCAAAATCTTGGCTAAAATCTTAACATCAACATTGAGGAGGCTAATAGGTCTGTATGAGTTACGTAATGTTGGGTCCTTCCCAGCTTTAGGAAATAGAGTTATAGATGCTTGTCTCAGTGTTGGGGGCAACATACCTAGATCTAAAGCTTCCTCAAATACAGACAAAAGAAGCGGGGCCAGTTTGACATGAAATTTTTAATAAAATTCGGAAGGCAACCCGTCTGGGCCAGGGGATTTCTTAGATTGCAACGAATTAATTGACTTAGTGATCTCCTCTAAGGTGATGGGTCCATTAAGTTCAGGCACTAAAAGAGGATCAACCCTAGGGAAGTTAATACGCCCAAGAAATTGGTTACTTTCTTCTGAATGGCCAGAAGCTTCAGTTTTATAAAGTTTTTAAAAGTTGAATTAATCTCCACAGGATCTGAAGTTAATGCTCCATCGGGCTGTGCAATTTGAGCAATAAATCGCGAAGCTGATGGGCCAGGAGGCGACCGACCTTATCCCTATGTTCGTAGTAATTACCACGCGCGTGTAACAAAAGTCTCTCCGCCTCACCAGTGGATAACAGATTGAATTCTGCCTGCAGATTAAGCCTTTGCTTATGTAGCTCAAGAGTCGGACTATGAGCATATTGGTCATCTAAAGCTTGAATACGGTTAGATAACTTCTTTATCCTATTCCTCCGTTCTTTATTAACATAAGCGGAGTAAGAAATTATCTGTCCTCTTAAAAAGGCTTTCAAAGTTTCCCAAAGTAAGGAGTAAGAGATTGAATCAGTCTGATTAGTAAGGAGAAAGTAATCTATTGAATTAGAATACCGTTTTACTTTTAACTGTAAATTTGAAGTTGCAATTAAATGTATGTAGAGATCTTCCGTATTGTGACGTACATCTGAGTTTAATGGATTTTTGAAAAAAGAAAAAATGTTGGGCGGAGGCTTGGTTCTATGCGTCATTTGTTGATTGGATGTTGAGATATGGGTGTGGCCTGTGAGCTTGCAGGGGCAGAGTTTAAGCAGACTAACCAACGCTATCTCATGACCAGTTCGTATGTATTTTATGAAGTAGCTAATTCATACAAATTCATATGACCTCACTTGTGCAATTTCTGTGAGGGGAAGGTGTAGGGGCGGGGTTAGGTGTGGTCCTTTGTACGAATTCGTACAAATTAGCAACCTTGTAAAATATGTATGAATTGCCGTGAGATCGGGTTAGACTAACTGATTTAAGTCTTGTATACGTCATCAATGGGAAGTCCAGTTATGACATGTTGCTTAACCATTACGTCAAAACATTTCATTTAATAATGAAACATCTACAGTCTGCATTTATAAAATAGATTGTCATTTATAAAAAAAGTCATATTTGTGTGACAAATTTGCCTTATGGAGAAACGTATCTTTCTGCCTGGCATATTATCAAACCACAGTCAGCCTTTTGGTTTGCTAAAAAAGGCTTTACGCAACCTCTCACACTCTAAACAACTTTGCGTTAATCCTTTGGCCTTTTGGCA